ACTATTCTAAATCAAAGGAATGATCAAAGAGAGGGAGAGGTACATTACCTATGACCCCACTATTCGCTTACACTTTGTCAAGAAAGATCAATAAGATGAACATTAAACGTTCATTGGGATTGATATAAAAAAAAGAGAGAAAGAAAGAGTTGGGATTCAGAGAAGGGGGATAAAGAAAGAAAGGGAACCAGGATGAGAATGCCTAAAACTTGTTTGAGTTGAATCCAAGTGTTCCTTGATCGATACTCCAAAGGTAAAGCCTACACCTTTATTTTTATGCATAAATGAAAGCAGTAGAGGGGATAGACAGGCAAGAAATGTTTAAGTTGATTGGCTAGATGTATTTGATTGCTAAGCTAGGATATGGAATAACGTACTTCTGTAGTTGATAGATATAAGATGTGGCTTGCAACAAAGTAAGAGGTGATGATTTTAAAGTTGAGATTTTGATTGAGTCCCTACTGTTTTTAAACTTCTTTCAAAGACTAACTTAAGGTTTGCTTGAGGACAAGCAAAAGGTTAAGTCTGGGGGAGTTGATATACCATGATTTTGACCCGTTTTTGGTCATGATTTCTATATGTTTTATTATAATTATCTATGTTTTGGAGTCTATTAGGTATGTTTTCAGGTTCAGGAGCATTTTGTGGTAAAGTGATGATTTAGGTGCCTTATGGAGCTTAAAGGAGAGTTTTACAAGTTGACTATCCGGCATTGAGAGACACATATCGATCGATACACACCTTGTGAAATCGATCGATGAAGATTCCGTAGAAGTTGAAGTCGAGATACTCCATCGATCGATGTACGCAATGTACCATCGATCGATACAGAGCGTGAAGAGCAAGATCTACTTGACCGACTTGAAGCCCAAGTTCTCACCAAATTACAAGACTGCCCCTGACGAGTTTTTAACCTAATTGTACTCCATATTTATAGTTATGCCTATGAGCCCTAGAAAGACACCATTAGATCTATTAAGAAAGTTTTGTATTCTATTTTTACCTAAGCAATAAAAGTATTTTCTTTTCATCTTATTCTTTTGCTATGAATCTCTTGGCTATGTCTGAGTAGATTCATCTGTTAGATTTGGGGTTCAAATAGTTATGAGGGATTAGCCCCAACTATGGATTGTTGAGTTGTTATATTCATTATCCAAATGAACCNGATCTATTAAGAAAGTTTTGTATTCTATTTTTACCTAAGCAATAAAAGTATTTTCTTTTCATCTTATTCTTTTGCTATGAATCTCTTGGCTATGTCTGAGTAGATTCATCTGTTAGATTTGGGGTTCAAATAGTTATGAGGGATTAGCCCCAACTATGGATTGTTGAGTTGTTATATTCATTATCCAAATGAACCCTAAAGCTTACTCTAGATTTGCTACCTTAGAGTTATGGTTATGGAGTGACTAATCTAATAGTCACTTTCCTGAAATCATTTGGCTAAACCCAGACTCTATTAAGGCTCGATGCGACAGCCGGTCTGATAGAAATTCTCGGGTGAACACAGTTTCAATCCGATCTGATACTATATATCGATCGATACTCCTCTAGAGTGATCGATCGACGGCAACATATATTTATCGACACTGCGATAGAAACATCGATCGATACTGTCGGAAATCAGATCAATGGACGAGTGTAATAGCGACAGCTATAGATTTGTCTAAGGATAGAAGTTCTCATATATTTGAAAGCAATTCGTTAAGACATCCATAGATTTATAATCCTGATTTTCTGAATAGCAACCTTGAACCTAACTACTTTCTTTCCATTTTTTCAAACCTAAAACCTATTTTCCTTAACAACTTACCATTGCTACATATTTTTATTTATTGTTTTAAAACCTTTTCAACCTAGCTTAATCACTTAGGATTATATATTTTGTGACTCTAGTTCCTTGTGGATTCGATCCCTAAGTACTACGATTGAACCTCTTATTTGAGAGAGTAAATCACTCCTTAGGGTTAAACATTTGAGTGACATCAAATATACTGAGGATTTTCGTAGCAAATAAGAAGGTAAAATAAAATTATGTTCCAAGTAGTTATAAGATACCGAATCATCCGTAACTTCCTAAATAATAGATACCTAACGAAAATCATACCGAACTATAATTAACTACGTAAAGATTATATACCCTACTACAATATTATCATATCATAATAAGACTATACATTAATAATATGAGGTCCGACTTAAAATTCCACCTAGAAGAAGTTGTAATGTTTCTACTTTAATAAGATAGATAATCATGAGGATGTAGGACCATGATTTCAAATCAACTACTCATATATTCTTCATCCAAAAATTCTATTCTCATATGCTCCTCTTTTTTTTTTTTTACTTTTCTTTTTCGTTTATTTTTAATTCCAAAATTGACTAAAAACCCAATAAATCCTTAATGGATCTACTTGTTTACAGATCATAACACTAAACATAATTTTTTTCTTATCTCTATAGATCTTTCTTTCATTATTGTCTTCTTCAAAACACTTTCTCTCTTCTACTTTTCTCTCATTCTTCTTGTTCTTGTTTCACTCTCTTCTTATTCTTTTTCTCTTTATATTTTTCTGCTAAAGGATTTTGGTAAAATTTTCTCCTTTTCTTTTCCTCATCCGCGTCATCATCCTTCCCTTTGTCCTCTGCTTCATCTTTCTCCTCCACCTCCGCCTCCTCCTCCAAGCCATCATCCTATATATCCCTATAAGACAAAAGAAAATCATTTATATCCTTCACTAATCTCCTTGCCCTTCATCATTTAATAAAAATTTGAAAACCCGATTTTACCCTTATTTACTTACAAAATTAATTAATTGTTTTTTATATCAAAATTTTTAAAATTCAAACTATGTTATACAGGTCCAACTAGTTATATTGGTCTTACTAGTTATATTGAGTTCTACTAGTTATACCGAATTCTACTAGTAATACTTATGTAGTTGTACTGAGTTGTACTAGTAGTACTTACTTAGTTGTGATACTAGTAATACTTATATAGTTGTACTAAGTTCTACTAGTAATACTTATGTAGTTGTACTGAGTTTACTAGGTTCTACTAAATAAGTTATACTTAGTTGTACTGGTGGAGTTCTTACGAAATTATACAAATTCTACAATTCAGATCTACAAATAAAATCAATGCACCACAACCAAATACAAAAATTAGGGATCCATGACTTCAATAAAAAAAGATACAGACTTAAATCCAAAAAATTCAAAATTGAATAAAACCAAAAAGAACCCTAAATCACAGAAAACCCAGAAAATCCAGATTTCTTCATCAACATGTTTCTGTTTCCTCATCGTCTTAAGAACTCCCATTCAAAAAATCCAAAACAGACGAAAATTGTAGATCTAAAATCATAGATCTAGTCTAAGGTATAACAATCTCAAGTAAAGTCTCTATCTTTGATTACATTGTCTTATTCACCATTGTTTTAGGTTGAACTGAGGTGATTTTTCTCAGAGAAATAGAGAAAGAATAGTTAAGGAGAAAGAAAAAAAAGAACATCGATTTTGCAGAGAAGAAGAAGATAAAACGGGAGGAGAAAGAAAGAATAATCTGAAAGAAAAAAGTACCTCGAAACTTATTATATTATTAGGGTTAAGGATACTTATATAATTTAGTCATTATATAATTTAAAAAAAAAATTAGAATAAAACTAATAATATAAAAGTGATATTTTAGCTTTATAAATAGATGCAGGGCCTCTAGAGATGATTTCTCTCCTCCTTCTTCTCTTTCGTTTCTTCCGCTTTTCTCTTCTTTTGTGTCTTCTTCCTTGTTAGAACCATCTCCGTTTTTGTTAAATCTGTTTTTGTTTTTCCTATATCTGTCTCCTCCTCCATCTACTTTTCTGTATTTTCAAATTTTTTATCTAGAACACGAAAGTGAAACTACAAACCTAGAAAAACAGTTTTACCAAGTTGTACTAACAATTGAGTGTAACTTGGTAAAACTGTATAACTTGGTGTAACTAAGTTCTAGTTTTACTATGTTATACCATCATCGAGGTATAACCTGGTAAAACTAAGACATAATTATATCAAGTTGTATTTCGACAAAAGTATAACTTGTAAAACTAGAACGTAGTTATACTAAGTTATACCATCATCGAGGTATAACTTGGTAAAACTAAGAATATTTATATCAAACTGTATTTCGATAGTGGTGTAACTTAGTTCAACTTGGTTTCTAGTTTTACTAAAATTCTAAATTCAAATTTTAAATTTGATACCGAAAATTTGAAATTCAAATTTTAAATTGAGGAGAGAAAACGTAAGGGTAAAATTGGAAATCTCTTATTTCATCAAGAATAGAGAGTATGTGAGAATTCTTAAGAGTATGACATAATACTTTTTGCCTCATAAAGAACATTTGAGAATCTTACTCCATGATTTCATAATATGAAAAACTGAATAATTTATTTATATAAGGAAAAATGATAGCTAGCTATACCAAGTATCAGCCATCACATGGTTAGCCATGCCAACTAAACAAATATATGGACAACTACACCAAGTATATGTTATGCATAGAAACATCCCCAAACTATATGATGTTATGTAATTAACATCATTAACTTAATTAGAGTCACCAGTGAGAGACATGTGGACGTCGAACTCTAAACGCTGTTAACTCTCCCGTTAATACAATTTTCACCAGACCAAATTAACCTAAAATCAATTGACCCGGACCATATAAAATAAAAAAATATTTGGGTCACAATATTTCAAATTCGACCCAAACAATTGAAATATTAACCTAATGACGTACGTTTCTTCATCTTTTCATCTTCTTTTTCTTTTTGAAACATAGACAGAGTAAACCAGAATCGAAGTCCTGTCCAGCATCTACACAGAAAAAAGCAGGTAAAAACCCAGTATATACATGTTTAGTTTCTGATCGATTATTAGAAAATATGTTATTGATATACATGTTCGTTGATAGATGGATCTAAGCTCGGGTTCATCAAGCAACAACAAGAACAAAGGTTATGGTAATCGCAAAGTGTCTGCTTGTTAGTTGCCTGCAGAGGTTTTCACGGCTTGGACAGATAAGAACCCTGGCCGAAGGTCCTTTGGATGTGAATTGTACAAGGTGTAGATGTAACTGGTGGTGCTTTGTAATAAGTTGTAATGTGATTGTTTCTAACATTACAGTCATTTGTATCGTTAGGAAGGAGGGAATGACCATTGTTCTTATTTTGTGTAGCTGAAGTAGAAGTGAAAGGTTGGCCTAGGAAGGCTTTGATTCAAGCTCGAGATGAAATACGAGAGAAGAAGAAATGGATCAATGAACTTACGGCCACTGTCAATGAGCTATCGGTCACTGTCAATGAGCTAACGGCCACTGTCAATGGGCTTTGTATGGAGTTGGAGCAGCAGAAGGTGAAGAAACGAGCTTCTCGTGAAATGGTTGTATATCGACGATCCATAATTATGTGAGTTGAGCTTAATGGAATGGTTTTTATTTGTTTTGGGTCAATTAATTTTAGGTTAATTTGGTTTCGTTAAAATTGTATTAACGGGAGAGTTAACAGCGTTTAGAGTCCGACGTCCACATGTCCTTCACTGATGACTCTAATTAAGTTAATGATGTTGATTACATAACATCATATAGTTCGGGGATGTTGCTATGCATAACATATACTTGGTGTAGTTGGCCATACATTTCTTTAGGTGGCATGGCTAGTCATGTGATGGCCGATACTTAGTGTAGCTAGCTATCATTTTTCCTTTATATAATGATAAAAACATAAATAAAATAAACAATACTCTTTCTGTTTTATATTAAGTGTCGTTGTAGAGAAATTTCTTCGTTACAAAATAAGTGTCGTTTTCGATTTTTAATGCAAAATTTAACTATTTTATTATGTAATTTGTTCTACTGGTTAAAATGTGGTTAGGTGTATAAGTAATGTTGTTTTTATATCGAAAATATGTAAAATTAATTGTTTCCTTATTCCGTGTGAACAACTCTAATATGACACTTATAATGAAACAGAGGGAGTACTTGATATAAAAAAAACAATGAACAAAGAACAGTTTCGTGTGGAGTCGAGATACTGTTTCCTTAATTCTTTGCATGTCCGTAGTGTGACAGTGTTTAGCAATCAGAATCTCAGGTTACAACCACACTTTGACTATTCCGTATCACTCAAAATATAAGCTAACAAACCTATTTTTGTGTTGTACTCTCAATTCACAAAAAAAAATAATACTAAACGTAACTATTCTAAGTAAGATCATCGTTTTCTCTCTTTGTTGTTGGATGTGTTAGAATTCTTAAATATTAAAATGGGAAGAATATGATTTTATTTTAAAGTAAAAAAATCAATAACTATTTTCCATAAAGTGAAAAAAAATTTGTTTTCAATGAGAATTCATTCTCTACTTAATGACATTGTTATTTTTATGTTACAAAAAATAATCAATGTTTTAAGTTACAAAATTCAGTTAAATGAGATAGCTATTTGTTGACTTCTCAACAATACTTTACAAATGGCTTTGGGTAAAATAAATTAATCTTTTAGTGCGTAAGCCCATTTTTCGAATCCCAAGTCCGAACATGAACTCTGTCCAACTATCTCATTTCTCACTTTATTTTCTGAAGTAGGACATTTCACAAATGTTATATTTTAATCTTTACAAGCAACTTCCTTGGATGTTCATTTCTCATTCAAACTAATTTCGTTTTTGACATGTAGATACACTATTCATAGTGCCCAACATTCAGTTATTCCAACGAACATTTTCATCTGGAAACTTACCGAAAATAGTTTAAATCCATTTTGTCAAAAACGAGTTCCAAAAATCCTCCACATGAATATAAATGACTCTAAACACTAGACGACTCGAAAGACTTAACCTCCTAGACAAGATTCGACACAAATTGAAAAGACTTAACTTAGGACTTTTGAGAGAATAAACGAAACAAATCCAATGTATGATGAGTTGGTAGCAATTTTTCAGCCTTGAACCAGTCATTATTAGTAGCTATCAGATTTACTCGGCTAGGTAGTGAACATGATGACTTCAACCACCCGAGCTTTGATATAAACCTAGACAATAGCTACAACACAGTTTCATTCTTTCATAGAACTAGGTTCTCTATTGTGTTCCTTTGGCCGTGAACATGCCATGTTAATCATGAGTGAACTTAGAGAATATAACATTTCCTTCATTCTTTTAGAAACAGCTCCATTTCACACTTACAAAATGATTTGCCATTAGCTTTGTTTAGAGGAGTATCATGTATTACTCTATTCATATCTCAAAACAATGAACACAAATCATTAAAAGCGAATTCTTATCCTGTAATCTTTACATGTAGCACTGCTTAATCATCCTAGGACTGGGTATACCCCGAAGTCTTACAGTGCTTTGAGCAGATTTAATTTGACTTAGTTGTCTCTTTAAACCTATTTCTTGAGATCATTAATCATTTAGGTAGAGTTACCGTCAAACCTCATCTTAGTTCATAGATTTCACCCATTCCATTTGATGATATAAAAATTTGATCTTATGACACCTTTAATATAAGGATCCTAGGCTGTCATCACAATAAACATAATCTCTTAAGATTACTTCAACTAAGATCAATTGTCTAATAATTTTTTTCATCTTCTTTCAAGATACAAATAACCATTGTACATAAAACTCAGTGATTGACACTAGTTTTTTTTTTTAAATCGTATTGTGATAATTATTGTGATAATGTAGCCTTTTGCCAGTAATTTTATATGGTAAGCAAAGCTTGCTCCACATTTTTTGAGATAACTCAAAAACATGCATATTTGAATTTAACTTCTCTAAAGAGTTTAGAAAATTTGATATACAACTCCTTTAGATATAAATAATAAAAACAAAGTCGAAAATCATCACAAAAAATATATTTCATTCTTAGAAATTAACATTTTTCTTACAACTACTTTCATAGTTTTTTCAAGTCAATTTATAAATCCAACTTGTATGTTTTGAATATTTCCAAACCATATTTTTACTTTTTAGCAAATATACATATCATTACAAGATATTATTTGTGGCATCAAAAATCACAACTTTCTTTGGTTATTTTCAACCATAATGACTTTAGAAACTACAATACATATGTCAGTTTCAATCATATTGATCTGAAAATTTTCGTTTTTTTATTTTTCCATCATGATCAATCTTTATACGACTCGCGTTAAAGTTTTAATGAAATATAATTGTTTTGATCAATATCAACAATATTTTATTTCTAATGGCAAATGATCCATATGTGGCAGACTTCTTCCAAACATAATTTAAGGCGTCAGATTCACGAATTCATTTCCATCCATATCATTTGATCTTTTAAAAGATCCATATGTTTTTTTATACCCCAGGTATCACCATACTCGAAATTTAGATTATTTTTCTTCTATCATGCTCAGACATGTACTTCATAATTATATTAAGTTCTCCTTCGATTCTGAAACAAGAAATCAAAAATGTTAAGCAATCTTGATAATTAAATTAAATCAATTAAAGCATTAACATATACTGGACTAGAAACGTGTTATTCTAATCATAATTATTATTATATAGAAACGTTAGCAATATTCGACCAAAAAGTTAAATGAAAACCAGTTACCCAAAGTAAATGCATTCAGTGTTCAATATGCCACAAGAACAACCTCTTGGCTCTTGCTAATATATGCATACTAATTAATTAACTGAGTAAATCCATATAATCGAATCAACTCAATACTTTACCAAGACCAAAGCTAGTTCACATTAACGATTCGTATGAGAATTATACCAAAATTCTATCAAGTAAAGCAATATGAAATAACAGAAAATATAAGCAAATATATGCAATCTGAAATAATTCCTGATTTTTTTTTCTGGACTATGGCTGGGATATATTCCAGTTCCTTTTTTCAGTTTGATCGGAACCTGTTCTTATGAAACCAGAAAGATATTAAATTCATTAGTCCATAAGTTAGGAAAAAATATGATACAATAGTAGAGTCTTGATATTATCGATTTCCTTAATATTGTAGGACCATGATTTCTAGGATAAGGCAAACTGAATAATTTATTTATATAATGATAATAATATAAATAAAATAAACAATACTTGATACTAAAATACGAGGAACAAAGAACGGCTTTGTGTGGAGGCGAAACACTCTTGCCTCAACTCTTTAACTATCTGTAGTGTGACGGTGTTTACGCAATCAGAATCCTAGGATACAACCACACTTCGACTATTCCGAATCACTCAAAATAAAAGCTAACGAACCTATATTTGTGTTGTACCCTCTGACACAAAATAAAAATAAATACTAAACATAACTATTTTAAATGGGAGAATTGTTTTCTCTCTTTGTTTTTGGATGTGTTAGAAATCCTAAATAGTAAAATGAGAAGAATATGATTATGTAGTCAAAAAATCAATAACCATTTTCCATAAAGTGAAAGAAATTTTGCTTTCAAAGAGAGTTCATTCTCTACTTAATGACATTATTATTTTTATATTACAAAAATAATTAATATTTTAAGTTACAAAATCCAACTAAATGAAATAGCTATTTGTTAACTTGTCAACAATACTTTACAAATGACTTTCGGTAAAAGAAATTAATATTTTAGTTCGTAAGCCCATTTGTCGAATCCTGAACCCAAACATGAACTCCGTCCAAATATCTCATTTCTCACTTCATTTTTCAAAGTAAGAAATTTCACAAATATTATATTTTGAGCTTTACAAACAACCCACTTGGATGTTCATTTCTCATTCAAACTAACTCCGATTGTGACATGTAGATAGTGCCTAACATTAGTTATTCTAACGAACATCTTTTTTTGGAAACTTACCGAAAATGGTCTAAAACCATTTTGTCAAACACGAGTTCCAAAAAAGGTTTTGGAGGTTTCACCATCAATTACAAATTTAAATAATCTTGCAGATTAATCTGGAGAAGACCTAGATTAATCTGCAAGATTATTATATGGATAAGGTGTTAAGGAATAGCTAGGTCTTCTCTTATTATATGGATAAGGTGTTAAGGAATATCTTAAACTATAAGGACCTCTTTGTAAATACTTAACTTTACTATTAACCCTACTTGTATCTGCGGTATAAATACTTGTACATGAGTAATAAACAAGTCGTTCAGCCTACTCTCTATACGGTATTAGAGCTTCTGATCTTACCCTAGGCCGCCATCTTCCTCGTTTGAATTTCTTTATGATGTCTAGATCTTCAACTACTCCAGCGTCCGCAATTGAAACCAACCCTTTTTCAAACACCTCTACCATCCTCAATGTCAATATGTCGAATGTAACCAAACTCACTGCATCCAATTTTTTTATGTGGAGCAGACAGATTTACGCACTCCTTGAGGGATATGATCTTGCTGGCTACCTTGATGGCTCCCTTGTCATCCCCTCCGCTACAATCACGAACGAAGCTG